ATATAGTTCGCGATGTACGCGTCATCTGCTTCTTCGTTGTCCGGAATATTTACAGACAGTTCTGTTTGCTGCAGGTTTAAAATCGACCTTATTTCTCTGTACCAGGCTGCAGGGTTTTCTTTCTTTAGGTTTTGTATTCTGGTCTGGTAAAACTCCTTTCTGGCTTTCTTTATTTCTCTGCTGACTTTGTTCCGTAGTTGTCTCCATAATAAGGTCTTCTGTTCGGCAAACGCCTTTTGTCTCTTGCGGATCAAATTTTTGATTTCTAGTTTAAGCCATGGTTTATCCCTGCTGTGCATCTTCACGGTCTTGGCTGGGAAAAACCTGTCAGTGGCTGTTTCAATAGTGGCATAGAACGCTGCAGTTTTACCTTCACAAGTTGTGGCAGTAAAAACTTCCTCCCAGGGATGAGAACAAACCCATTGTCCGAAGGCGCGGCGGCCTGAATCACGGATTGGTCGGACTGTCTTGGTTGCAGTACTACTTTCCCTCTTTTCTGCTTTTGGCTCCCACATGACCATGCAGTGATCACTCAGTCCTAGGGGACCCAATACTTGTGGTTGTTTGTAATGTTTTCCTAGGTCAGTTATTATCAGGTCTAAAATGGCTTGCCCTCTTGTTGGTGCTCGTACGACCTGGTTTAAATCATTACCGTTACACAGCTGACTGATGTCGAGCCGATTGAAGTCTCCCAGTAACATCACCCCTGCCTCTGGGCAGCGTGTTCTAACTTTGTCGGTTCCTGTGATGAGGTGGTCTAGCAGTAGGTTTTGGTGTGGGGATGATGGCGGAATGTACACGGCACATAAGACTATTTCGGACACTCCTCTGGGTAGGCGTGTTGGTCTGATTGATACCCACAAACACTCCAGTTCCGGGGGGACTACTATGTCCTGAAGTGGTTTCGCTGGTATAGTGTTCTTAACATAAATCGCAACACCACCCCCTCTACTCGTGCAGCGACACTTGGAGAACAGTGTATATCCGTCGATAGAGAGACACGACTCCGCCATGTCCGGAGAGAACCATGTTTCCGACACGACACCGACATCCACATTGTTATCTAGCATGATGCATTGGTATTCTTCCAATTTGTTAGCGAGTGATCTTGGGTTACACAATAACACAGAAGGTGTTGTAGCTTGGACAACATGTTTATTTTCCTTCTGAACGTTTACAATCACACGATCCGCATTTCTCTGCAAAATGTCTGAGTTGACAGGTGGTTTGTGGGCCCAGGTGTTTGGTCTGCTCGTCAGGAGAGTAGGAATTTTGCGGATTAAGTTCCTTCCTCCTCTGCTTCCTCTAGTATGAAGTGGTTTCTTTATTCCACAATCAATGATGGATTTCTTGACCTCAAATGTAGGTTTAAAATTTGCCTGGAGAGCTTTTAGGGTCCCCGAGGAATACGAGAGAATTCGTTTCAGTAACATTGTCCCAGGGTGACCTCTAGTAACCTCGCGGCCAAAGGTAGACTCAGGTAGGAAAAACTGATATTTAGAGGTACAAATCAAAACTTCGTCGAACGTCAGTAGTCGGAGAGACAGTTTGCTTGAAGTATAGTTCAGCTCAAACCTTTGAAAAGCTTGTTTGGACGCTTGAAATGCTCGGCGGCTGAGGAGTTCCTTTGTTTTTCCATCGGTTCCCTCCCACCAGGCCAGCGACGACGACTTGTGGACGAGATTTTTAGGGTACGAACCGATTATTTTCCCCGAACTTGTAACTCAGGAGACAGAGAAACAGTCCATCTACAGTATTCTTCCCCGATACACCACCGATGACACAAATGTTGACTTAGAACTGTCCTTTTAGAGGACACTAACAGGGAGAGACATGTATACGTGGCAGCTATAAAAGCGCCACCTTGCGAAAAGCCTGCAACAAGAAGGTTATAACATCCCATCCACTGGGCAGCCAGTATACCATACATGGTTAGTTGAACTTGAACTTGTATTAGTGTAGGCAAACCAACTGACAAATCAACTCACTTCTGTGCCTTCTGGAAGTCATGTATGGGGAGGTCCTCAGGGCGCTGTAGGTAACCTCTCAACTGGGCCTGTAGGTCCTGCAGTACCGGCGGCAGACCATGGGGGAGCTGCAGCACAACATACAGCAATGCCTCAAAACACGTCTTCTGTGCATTGTAGTTAACCCTTGTCCTGCTGACATTCCTGGCACAATATTTTTCAATAAATTCATGTCTTAATTAGATCATAGACCCCCCCAATTTTTTTGCCCTGCAGTGGCATAGTTACTTCCACATTCGTTGCGTTTCGCTGCGGTGTGATGCGTTGCACGAGAAATACCCCCAAAATGTACCTATACAGGGTGCTATATAGATGGTACTGTATGTGTAGAACAACAATTGTTGTACTCCACAGGACAAGGGTTTTTAATACATTTGTAATACACTTTTCTTTATAGTTTCATAAACAGAGTAAAGTTAATTCTTAAAAATTCTTATTCATCATTACTTTGCACCTATTACAATCAAGTAAGAGCTTATTGGGCGCTATAATTTACAGTACAAAGTTTCTAATTGATAACAGAAAGGCCATAGGTACACATATCAGCGATACTAAACCTAGAATATTTGTGGTATACTACATTTTTTCACTACGCAAAGTTAAGAAAACAATATACAGAAGAAAGGACTGCTTACAGTAGTCAGTGGTGGCAGCGGGTGTTTGGCCGTATCCCCCCTGGGGCAGACATGAACTTTCCCTGCACATCCCACCTCCAGCAGGGAGAAGGGACAGTCCAGTAACTCTGCAGAGGGAGGGGCTGGGAGGGATGGTAAGGTTTTGTTGTACACGACGTTCTATATATCAAAGCTTTGTGAGAAAGGCTGTATTCCAAAACATGAAAATAATTTTGGATGACACTTAAGTAATAGATCTTGGCGTTTATTTCTTTTTCAAAACCCCGGATTTGTGACAGTTATCTAGTTCAACTTAATATGATTTACTTCAGCAGAACACACGTAACACACCTCAGTGGATTACTCGTGCATGAAATATCCGGGTATATTTACTTTGGTGAAACGCCCCCCTCCCCCTTCTACATGGAAAATGCGGCAACAAATTAACAAATGTGACGGCAGGAAAAAAAAAAACTGACAACATCCTGTATTTCTGAGACCCTACTTCACTGATAGTTGGAGTCTGTAGAAGTTTGCCGTGCGAAATGTTTCCAAAATCTGTACCTGTTTTCTGCGTCTCCAAACTTTCCAGCTCAGTGGCCGCCATGTTGGTGTGACCTCTGACCTTACCCAGCTGACGACACGTCACAGCACCCGACCTTGGCATGTTGGGGGGAGGGGCAGGTAGTACGGGGGTTTGACCTCCTTGGTAACGTTACAGGTAAGGTAAGGATGCCTGTGGCTAAGGCGAGATAACAAAGTAGTTGTAGAATTTGATAGATTTGCTTGAAGTGGGGTATACGGAATAGATGGGCTAGGGCAAGTGGCTGGGCTAGTGGGCATTAGAGCATAGAGCATAATTTTGACTCATGCTTTGTGGGGCCCCATTGACTTTTAACCAGTAGACTGGATCGTGAAGTTACTGGTGTACATGTGAAGATATGCCGAACTGGTAATGGCCATCTAGATTAGACATCTAGTTACTAGTATCTATCTATCCATCCATCTCTCTCTATCTCTCCCTCCCCTCTCTCTCCCC